TCGGCCGAGTTGCTTGATCGCGACTAGGGTCAAAAAAAACTTTACGAAGGTGAAACTTTACGGGGAGAATGTCGTGCTGCCCTGCGTCCCGCAGCAGGCGCAGCTCCCGAGCGCGGGCGAAACTATTACAGTTGGGCAGTATTCCTGACAGGGTGTCCAAGTACAGCGAAACCTTATATCCCCAGCAGGACCCGCCATGAAAGGAGCGACCCATCTCCGCAATGTACCTCAACCGCCAACCGCAGTACCGACTCTGCAAAAAATGGACTAGTTGGGGTACTGAACTGTACCACAAACGTTGAGCTCACTAGACCCCTCTATGCAATTTCATATTCTCAATTGTCTGGATTCCCTCAGGAGAGAAATGTACGCAATCTAGCATGATGGTGAAACGACTCTCGCCGAGTTCATCACCTCTAGAACTCCAATACTTCTAGCGAACGAATGGATCAAAAAATTTCATGCTGACAAGGAAGAGTGGATCGTAGTGGTTCCTATTACGAGCGAAAACGTTGTGCTTGAGTCAAGATATGCGCATTTGTAATTCAGGACCACGAACGGCACGAACTTTTTCTTACAACCTAAGTGTTTTGATATTGCTGTAAGGTTCATGTTTGATGGGATTCTGTCAAGAATGTAAGGGTTTACAGTTATCTGATTCTCTACTCCAGCTTCATTAATATAGAACGGATTCAACTTTATAGGAAAGTTTTATCGTTTGAAATACTATTGGAATGATTTCAGGGCGGACGGCATGAGTACCGTAAGATCAGTGGTGCCCTTATGTCGGGTGCCGTTGATACAATGTCCTATAACAATCAGCGGTACGCTACTGGATCCGCGAGCGGCTACCGTAAGGAATCCGATTCGAGTGGCGTATTCAATAAAGAGTCATTCTAAAGAGGTAATCAGCGTGCTGGGGTATCCTCAAACTACTCTCATTATCAGAGCATTACATGGGTAGCTATGGAGTCGTGTTCTGTTTTATTGGATTTATTTTTTGTATTCGAATACACTCGAGAGGTACCTTATGATGCAGAGTATAAGGGTTTACAGTTATGCGATTCCTCATGACTTGAGTAGTAGTAACCCAATCGTGAGAATGAAATAAGGAAAAATAACAACTGTAGGTAGGGAAGAAGCAATGAAAACAGAAGCAAGCTGGCTTCAAGCAACTGCTTGAACTGCTTGTCAATGGAGATTGTATGTCGAACTTTTTCCCTCGGTTTCGGCTCCTGGATAGGAACGACGATGCTGAGCCTTGCTCATTACGGACGAATTTATTTATTTATTTATTTGAACTGCACTCCTGTTGCACCCAAACAAAACCAGGACTTGTGTTAGTCGAACGTTAAGACTTTGTCTAGTATCTCGAGCGAGCATATCAAGGTGAATCTCTAGTAGAAGGGTCATCATTTCGCAGGCTCCTCAAGTGGCTATGCTGCACAAATGAAGGTCAAGTCCGTGGCCAAAAATCTGCCTGTCTTCGGCAACCTTCTGCTTAAGTATATATAAACGAATGAAAGAACTCTAATCTACATCTGCTTCGTCAACCTTTTACCGTGAAGCGGGAGCGGCCAACAGAATCGCTCAGTAGTTGCCCGCCGTTGGCCACTTGCGCAGCATCGCGACGTGATAATTTTTGGATGGACGCAGGTTTTTGAATTTACGCTGGGATAGTGGATTTCTTGCTGTCCTGAGTAATCTGTGGGACGCGGGTATCAAGTTACAAGTTACTTGCTCTGGCTGTTCCATCAAAAATGACGTGAACAAGTTTGTTTTCAAGGTTTATCATCGCAGTGTTGAAAAAAAGCGGAAAGAAGAAAAATCCGAACGGAAACTATCCGCCTATTGCTTGATTCGAAAATGCGCACAGAAACTCGTCCATTGCAGATGTGACGTGGCCAAGAACAAAGCGCGGGGATCCGGACGTTCCTGTTGACATGAACCCCCGTG